TTCTCATAGGAAATCATGTACTTCCTTATAATATGACTGTTTATCAAGCTGTTCGCCAATTTTCTACAACCAGTGACATGGAGACTGATAATGAATCTGAACTTCCATTGGGATCAGCTGGAATATGGGTGCAAACACATACCATCTATTACAGGTAAGAAATAATTGTGATATGATTAAAAATACAACTTGAATTAACACGTAAAATATTAAGATGCTTCATGCCCTCTTGTCAACCTTTATGATATAATATCCCGCATTTATTATTCATTTTCGTAACCAGAAGTTTTTAGAGTAAAACTGCATAAAAAATTAATCTGATACTTTAATAACATTTAGTTTACTAGCTGATCCCTGTGCACTTCATTGCCCGTTAAAAATACCCACTCTATGTGATTCAAAATTGTTGGTTAATGTTATTTATACTTGGCTAGTCATGATCGAAACTTCTTAAGATAAATTTCCTTGAATATATCCCATCTTAATATCCATAATAGATTTTTAAGTCATTTAAAATACAGGACTAAAAGACAAAAGTATATTCAGTCATAATACTTTATCGCATATTTAGCTTTGTAAAGGTGAAATAATTTTTAAAATTGGTACCTTATAAAAAATTACTAATTTCTTAATACTAATATTATTTCTTTAAAAAATCACAAATTTGCATTAAAAAAATTAAGGACAACTTATCAAGATAAAATATAACTTAAAGATTCATGAGATTGTGTAGCTTTCTGAAAAAAGTAAAACATTTTAAAATCAGTTAAATAGTTTAAGAGATTAAACAGATCAAACAAACAATTATTCCTCTTTATATTGTATAACCCTTTTAACCACTGTAGGGGTCAAATTAACTTTTTTTGTAAGAGATTTATGCATTATAAAAATATGATCTGACACAATTCCATACTCATATTTCGTTTTTACCCCTGTAGGGGTTGGATATGACTAATCCTTTCTTAGAGGTTTTTCGCATCATTAAACAAGACTACTGTCCAAATTTCATACTCATTGCTTCAGCAGTTCCAGCTAGKCTATGATGAATCACACAGAACAAGTCATTTTATATATATATAGATAATTTTATTTTGTGTAATGAAGCAGAAAATTAATTTCAACATTGAAGGGTTTCTGATAAATTATTTGATTTGGTTAGTACTTAGGATCTTTTTGTTGCGTTTACTAGATTGGTCTCAGCAATTTTCCTGTAGTATGCATCAAGTAAGTATTAAAGTACTAGCCTATTGCAACCAGTCTATACTTTCCTCAGCCTACACACTGCTACTCCGGCTTAAGTAGGAGAATATCGAGGTTAAGGAATAAGTTGGGGTACTTTGGTGTTACGCAGCTGTGAGTTGCAAGTTCAAATCCTGTACCATGCATAATTTTTTTATTTAATTCTCGATATCTCTCTCAAGACCAACCAAAGCATTTGTGGCCCATATGTAAAAATATTCTCCTTTTAATTTATGTATACTTAGGAATGACTTTTATCATTAWATTAAATCACATGTATTGTAAAAAAATATATTTTTAAGCTCTTCATAAATTATTATTATTTAAATATTATAACTTTGTTTTTGTCACTATATTTATATATTGTAAAGTTAATATTGGTACTTCTAACAATTAATGAAAAAAAATTTTTTTCTTAATTAGACCTTTGCCAGAAGATACTGAAGTACATTCACCTAAACCTACTACCAGCAGTTCAGGTAAAAAAGGAAGATCAGGAGCTCACAAGAGTGCCTCTAAAAAAGTGAAAGATGAACTATGGTTAGGTAAATTATCTATTTTTTTATATTATTTTAAGTTGAACCACTATAACAAGATACATAAATGTATAATAATGACTGGAATCTCTAAGAACTGAGAATTATTACATATTGTATCATTTTGTTTATTATAGAAGGAGTAGTGTCTCCCGTCAAATCATCACTTGAACCATTTCTTCAATTATCATTGCCCGACTATGTTCAAATCCAAGATCCTTCATTGCCAGTACTGAGTCTGTTAAGAGTTTTAAACGCAATTAATAGGTATTGGACTTCATTATATCCAACACAGCTCCATAATAACTCTATAATACCATTTAGTGTAAGTAACCTCTTAAAATAATGTATATATTTTTATTTATTTATAATTGAAATCATCCATTTGTTTTAGGAATTTATTAATGTTAAAATATCTGCAAAAGCAAACAGGCAACTTCAAGACCCATTAGTAATAATGACTGGTAACTTACCTGCTTGGCTTCAACAAGTTGCATCGGCTTGGTAAGTTTAAACATTTTTTTTAAATATTATGTATATTTAAATTTTTTGTGCATTTTTAAAATTTTATAGTGCATTTTTATTGCCATTTGAAACACGACAATTATTATTTTATGCGACTGTATTTGACCGAGATCGTGCATTGCAACGTTTACTTGACTCCAGTTCTGAGCTTCAAGGTGCTGGAAATAACACCAATGGTGACATGCATGATCGCGTTGCACCACGACTAGATAGACGTAAACGTTCAGTAACTAGATCTAATATACTTTCTCAAGCTGAAGCTGTGATATCTGAAAAAAAATTAATTTAATAATAAATCAATTTGGTAAGTAAAATTAATTATAATTAATTTTACTTACCAAATTGATTTATTATTAAATTAATTTTTTTTCAGGTGGGAACAGGTTTAGGACCAACCTTAGAATTTTATGCATTAGTCTCAAAAGAGTTACAAAAAGCTGATTTAGAATTATGGAACAATCCTTCAAAATCAGAATCTGACTCTTATGTTAATTCATCAGAAGGACTTTATCCCAATCCATTATCTCGAACTACTAAACTTCCACATCAAGTTAAAATGAAATCAAAATTTAAATTTTTAGGAAAGTTTATGGCCAAGGCTATTATGGATTCAAGACTAGTAAGATACTAGATAATTTATTGAACTACAATTATACAGCTTATATAATCATTAATACATATATTTTTTTAAAGCTGGATTTACCACTAAGTATTACCATGTATCGTTGGCTATTAGGCCATGAAAATTACCTTACTCTTGGTGATCTTTCATATATAGTTCCTGAAATATACAAAACCTTATCAAAACTTCATGAATTAGTACTTGAAAAAAGACTAATACTTATTGATAATTCACTAAATGATGAACAAAAAGCTGAAAAGGTATTTTACACTACTATCAACAATTACTTAACATAGTTATGATTTTTGAGGTAATAAATTTAACTCTTATGCATTTTAGATTAAAAAAATTACTTTAGATGGTTGTCCGGTAGAAGATTTGGGACTTAATTTTACATTACCTGGACATGCCTCAATTGAATTACGGAAAAATGGAATAAATATAGATGTCACAATTGACAATTTGGAAAAATATATTCAGGTAATTTGATAAATAAAAAAAATATGTTTTCTACCTTTAGTATTAATTTTGRATTTAATTTTTAGTTGGTTTGTCATTGGTTTTTACGAGAAGGCGTTTCCAAGCAAATGGAGAGTCTCCGAGAAGGATTTGAAAGTGTATTCTCTCTTAAACGCCTTGGACAATTGTTCTATCCTGAAGAGTTGGAAGCAATATTTTGTGGGCATACAAACACGACTAAAAATTGGGATGTGCGTATGTTATCAGAGTCATGYCGCTTGGACCATGGATATACAGGAAATTCTAGAGCTATTGGGTTTCTTTTCAAAATATTGTCAGAGTATAATTATCAACAACAGAGGGACTTTTTGAGATTCGTTACCGGTGCGCCACGTCTGCCTGTTGGAGGTAAACATATACTTATGTGCACTATAACCATAGATAATACATGTATTAAAATACCAAACAATTTAATTCTCTTGTACTTTTTTTTTGTTTTTTCTCTTATTTCTTTGCTTTGTTCCTTATTATAAGTATAATTAATTTATGTTTATAGTGATATGCTAATGACCTAGTAGTCTAAGCAGAAATGTCAAGACCAATAAAAAAAAAAAAAAAACATGTATTATCTATGACTATTAAAATAGCTAATTTTTCAAATCCTATTAATAATTTTGGTTCCTTCTTTTGTTATTTAATTACAATTAAAAAAAAAAATTTGTTTTAGGTTTCAAATCACTTTCTCCTGCATTGACCATTGTGCGGCGAATATTTGATGATAATGATAATCCAGATGATTACTTACCATCTGTAATGACATGTGTAAACTACCTTAAACTACCAGATTACTCCAGCATTGATTTAATGAGAAAAAAACTGCAACTGGCAGCCTCTGAAGGACAACATTCCTTCCACCTTTCATAATTACTGCAGAGTAATTTCTTAATGTAGTATCAACACTTTAAAAATATATAAAACCATTTGATATATTCCAACTTAAATAATTACATTGTATTGTTAATGGCAAAATAATAATCTGGTTAAAAACTTACATTATTAATAAAAAAAAGAGCAATATCCATATATATTCTCTATAATATACATACATATATATATATATTATTTAGTAATTTTCTTTGAATAATTTTTGTGTAAATAATATGCATATAATTAATAATACAAAACAAGATTGTTTTTTAGGGTTATTTTTTATTTCTAAACTATTGAAATTGCTTTTATTTTAAATTTAAATTTAATACTTTTAAGATCTCTAAAATGTTTCTTTGTTCTTGGGTGTGTGATATTTTATAATATATGTATATATATTATATATACATATATATATAATATATAGAAATATACTTTTTTTAGCACGTGTAACATTTGAAATACATTCCATTTTAGTATCTTTATTGATTAGAATATTTATACAACAATCCTAAAAGTTTTGTCTTTCTTTTCAATATTATTATTATTTCATTTTAATAATGAAAAATTGAACAAAATATTGTTTACAAACATATTTATTAATCAATTCCAAATAAATATTAATTTCCTTACATCAATTACAATATTTTCTTATTAGGGGATAATTAATAGTTTAATTATCATAACAGATAGAATAAAGTATTAGTTTAATAAAATTATGGAAACCACAAATAAATATTAACATGTTTATGTTGACTATTATCAATTTTGTGTTAATAAATATGTAGTAACTGCAAACAAAAACACCCAATATTTCTGAAAAACAAAAAAAAATATATATATATATATATATATTACATATACCAAACTTCGTACATTAATGAATTACCATGTGCAAAGATTATTTTTCTGGATTTATTGGATAAAAATTCATTGAAGCACTATTAATACAAAATCTYCGTCCTGTTGGTGGAGGGCCGTCTTTAAAAACATGTCCTAGATGTGCATCACATTTTCCACACTGCACTTCAGTTCTTATCATACCTGGGTTGGTTATCAATAACAGCAAATTTGCTCCAACTGTGTCCATCACCGTCATAAAGCGACAGCATTGTTTTGTATATTCGAGGAATGAAGGAAACGCCACCAACACCAAATAAATTGTGTTTTATATGCATATTAATATTGTRAAAAAATTTTTGAATATTCWTTAAAAAATGTGAAAATCTCATACGCAGTTGCCAGTTGTATGAAAAGAAAAATAGCACAATATGAATATTATAGAATTTGAAATTATAATGTTCATTACTAAGTTATAATGTTCAATTATTCAGTATTAGAGATTTATAATAAATAACAGTCAATAAATTTAATATAATGCAACAACATTATTTATTAGTAATATTTTATAAAATAATATTAATCCAATAGTTATTGTCGATAGATACTTTTCTAACAGGGGATTAATTTAGATAATTATGTAACATGAGTGATTTAAAAACAAATTGTTTAAAAAGATCTACTAAAATGTATTGCAATGTTTTAATATTGCAGCATAAATATGTACACTATTATTAAAAAAATAATTGATAATGTTTAAAGAAAATATAATATTATTATGAGAGGCCATACCCGCATCTCAGTCTTACAAACATTTAACATAACAAATTTATGCTTAGCAGTTCACGTCTTATTCTATTAGCTTAAAAATAAGAGTGAATAGACCTGATGGTAAAAACATTATCTGAACATTATCTGTGTCAAAAAAATTTGGAAGTCTTTTACAATTATACAGTTTTAAGTGAGTTACGAGCATAACTCACTTAAAAACTTAATTATCGTAAAACAAAAACAAATAATGTTCTAATCATCAAGTTTCATAATAGGAGTCTATATTCTCTCACATTCTAAGTTAGCAGAATTAGATGTGAATTTCTGAATGTAAAATAGCTGTGTTATACATTTGTAAGACCGAGACAACAAATGCGGATGTGCCGTCTTCTTAATTGACCATGCCTAAAGTATTTGGTTACTCTGTGATAAAAGCTTAAGAATTAAATTATAATAACCTTATACAAATTAAAAGATAAACATTGAAAAATGAGATCTGACAAGTTTGGAAAAATTAACATTTTACAAGACAATTACTAAAATAATAATAATTRATTTATCCATCAATAACATATTCAACTAACAAGATGCAACTAAATATCAAACGTCAAATAGTTATTTTTAAAAAGTAACTCAATGTCATAATCATTACCAAAATCACACTAAAATACAATTATTTCACTAGTCCACTATCCAAAGTTTCACAATAATACCCAACATTTTAAAATACAAAAGGAAACCCTATTAATATAGCATTTGAAATTGTTATTGCATTGCTTACAAAATTTAAAAGATTTTTACATAAGGATGTCAGTGCACTATTTGTTTTTTCTTTGACCAGGGTTAGGTTGAGCATCAGCAAAGACAAAACGCATTTAAGTAGAATCATTTTTGCTATGTTGATAAGTAATCTTAGAAAAAAATCACCCATAACAAAAAAGATAGAGAATAATATTTTTGAGGGAATGACATATCAATTAGTCTAAGTATTGTCTCAATACAATTTAAATATCATTAAAATCTACAAAAAAAATTTTGTTTATTTTGAAAGTCGAATACAAAATCAAATAACAATAAAATATAATATCAATATGTCATCCCCTCAAAAATATTATTATCTATCTTTTTTGTAATGTGTGATTTTACTCTATAAACATAACAAAAATGATTCTGTGTAAATGCATTTTGTGAATCATAGAGAAAAAGCAAATAGTGTGCTGACATTCTCTTAAGCATTACTAAGAAGCTTTAGATAGATACTCTTAATCAAATTAAAAAGTATATAAGAATAGCAAAAATATATTATAATGTAAATATTCAACTAACAAACAATCATTAATGAAATGTATATTGTGTTGTTATTTATGCAGCGTTTCCAATCCCTCGACAGATACAATAAGAAAAAGAGAATAGTCTAGAAAAACCATGGCTACTACCAAAATTCTGTGAACATACCATTTGAAGTGTCAGTTGTTAGTTTTACTTTTTTTTGATCAATCACATCATTGAACGCAGGCCAACCGCAGCCAGAATCAAATTTTGTTTCCGAAGTGAATAATGTTTCATTGCATACAACGCAAGTATACAAACCAGCTTCTGTGGTTTTGTTAAACTTGCCAGTAAAGGCTCTGTAAAACCAATCATCAACTTTTTTTAGTTTCTAAACGTGTCAATACAAATGATTACCTCTCCGTTCCTTTTTCTTGGGTGACATGGTATTGAATGGGTGATAAACGTTTTTTCAAATCTGCCTTGAAGTCGGCTGATTCTCCTTGACTCATGGTCCTTATTTTAATATAATTAATCTTGTTTTTCAGCGGTAAAATTTCACTGGTTAAACGCAATACTCTACTTTTACAATACATTCATGTACACAATATCGACTATCTGGGTCAAAGAATTTTATTTATGAACTATTCAACGGTTTATAAATAAAATACGTATTAATATAATATTATGTAAATGTATAATATTATATGCGTACGTACTATGTAGTGATCGTAWCTGGTCAGAACCCAAACACCAATGGTAAGTGGTAACTAATAAGCCACACACCAAACGCAAACAGAGATGGACTAATGGACTAGAGTAGTAGAGTACTAGAATTAAATTTATTTTGTCATGGTACTGACCACAGTCAAGTGAGCATTTGCCATTTAGCAATTAGCTGAAGTTGCCATCAAGCTTGTTCAAMCTTATCAGTTCATCTCATTCGGTCATTCTGTGGTCATAGGCCGCTGTAGCAGGCTGGTTACACATCGATTTGTGATAAGGAGACCGTGTAACCATACTAGAACATAATAGAAGCGACAGTCAAACAGCTGCAGGCTAAATGGACWAGGTTTATAGATAATTATCTATAAACCTTGGTCTGTAGCACRATTTAAGATATATAAGATATATCTTAAATCGTGATCTGTAGCATGTTTCAACTGTTATCACTTTTTTCTGTGATATTGATAATTTAAATTTTTTAAGGAAACACATTAAGCATTGCGATACGATTACAACATCATACCGGTCATCCGCGGCTGCCAACATCATGCCGAGCMTCCAGCTCAAGGTCAACAGAAATATTTTTCGGTGAACAATGGAATTTTGATAGCTGTCGCTTCTATTATGTTCTATGGTGTAACCCATGATTGATTGAATAGATTAATATGGATCACTACCTYTTGTTCCACAAAATATTTGTTCCGAAAGACTTTTGTCCGCAGAACATTTGTTCCTATAGACTTTTTTTCCATAAACCATTTATACCAATACACTTTGTCCCACGAATATTTGTTCCAAAAAACGTTTGTCCCAAACGTGGAACAAGACGTGTTCYKTAGAATAAATATTTATGGAACAAAAGTAGATGGAAACAGATATTTTATGGAACAAAAGTACAATGGAACAAATGTTTTGCGGAACAAAGTTTATTTGGGACAAACACGTCTTGCCCAATGCCCAACCACCAGCATGCTTATATTAATAGCTTTGTTCGTTTTAAAAACTAAGTGTTAACACTATAGTATAGAAGTGTTGGGTATGGTGTGTGGTGTGCCAATTTAAAACAAACGTTTCAGGACGTGTGGTTGGCTCGGCAGTCAGCATGTAGTGAGTGATAAGGAAATATTTATGATAATAACTGGCTCCACACCAAAAATCAAGTTCGACACCTGCACTTTAGTTGGTGTGGATAGTGCACACACCAAACCCACACTATTTCAAAACAWACAGTGTGTAYGCTAACACTTTTCTAAAACAWACGCTTCAGGTGTACACCATTATGAAAAAGTGTACACTTTTTGTCRAAACGAACAAACCTAATACATCATATAATTATATAATAATCTGGTATCACACTTTCACATTCACAATAATATACCACAATATTGTATTCATGTCTCAAAGTCATAATTTCTATTTTCTATTTACGCCGATTTAATCAGGACTTGTTGAAGAAGGAATAGGTACCTTTATTATAATTATATTATAATTTATAACGCGGAACCATTGTATGGAACAATAATTCCTCGTAACCAGTCAACAATTTAATTGAGATAATATTATTTATCCTATATGGGGTTATATAAAGCATTAGAGYCTGTAGTACCTAAAGGYGCGACTGTGCTAGTACAAAAATGAGGAAGCCATTTTCAATAGGCAACCGTCAATGGGCATGCAGCTTATTTGAACATTTAAATTTKCCATTTGGTGTTATCTGTTTTTAAAGAACCCTTTATAAATGTTGGCATGTAACTACTTAATATAATTTTTAATTGATACTATTATACTTCAAATTGYCAAAAAACACACCAATATGGCAATATGTAGGTACTATTGTCTACTTAGAACATTGTGACGTTACCTGTCGTTACTGCAATATTATATTAGTGACGTTTTATAATAATTAATTATTGTATTATATAAAATTATATATTAATATATAGGTTGGCAAGTCGCAAGTGGGTATCGTGTGTATCACTGTAATTAATGTGTTAAATTTGAATAATGTTTTTGAAGTACTGAAGTAGCACCTACGTCCTACACAGACATACAGTATACACAATGATAATTTCAAAATATTTAGGCCAACAATTTTTAGTGTGGTTATATTAAGTGTCGTCACTTTAAATTAATAAGTAATAGATAGGTACCGTTAAAATAATATCGTACATTCGTACTTACTTAACTTGATTTTACATATTATCAACAGTAGTGAGTAGTGTATGTAAGACGTAAGTACATTACATTTGTATACCTATTCACAGTTCGTTAGTTTTTTTCTCCGCCGTAATTACACCATGTCCAAGAGGGACGTACATCGATTTGACCGTATTACACACCACGGGGAGATTACACAGTCGTTGCCAAACTATTTCCGCCTCGCACACAAATATTTACCGCATACACAATATTTTTTTTTTTTATCCTTTGAAACTCGATTCACCAAACCTTATACTGGTTTACTATAAAACTGAAATAATTATTTCAAGTAAATAACACAAATTATTTCAGTTCTATAGTAAGGTTTAGTGAATCGAGTTTACATAGGATGAAAAAAAATCAAAAAAAATGATGTATTGATGTATATA